GCCTTCCACTGGGGCCGCGCGCTGGGCGGGGCCAGCAGGCCCCCCCCCCCCCGCCCCCCCAGCGCCAGCAGCCGGGGCAACGGGCAGCGCGGGGAGGCCCCCCCCCCTTCTCCCCGCGGGCGGCCGCTTCCAGCCAAGGGCCGCTTAGACGGAGGAGGAAGCTCAGGGGTTAGCGCGACCCCCCCCCCCCCCCCCTCCCCAGCATGGCCAGCGGCCACTTCCGCCAGGCGACGAGCGCCGAACAAGCGCAGCGGCGCCCAGCCGCAGGCGACCAGGCGTCGGGCGACCACGGGGGGCGGAAGATCGGCGGTCGATCGAGCGGCTCGCTTCCCAAACCGAGAGGGGGGACCTCACCTGGAGCCGAACGGCGCGCGCCGAGCGCGAGGTGACGGGCGCGCAGAGAAGGAGCACCCCCACCACAGAGCCCTGCCGCTCAGCGGGGGCCAGCAAGGCGCCCCACGACCGCCGCCGCCTCGGCCCGCGCGGGGCGCCCAAGGAAGACGGGCCCGCGCGCGGGGGGCATTCGCGCGCGCGGCGGCGGCCGAGGACCCCGGCGCGACGGCGACGCCAATGGGGGCGACTAGCAGGCGAAGAGTTGGCGCCGAGGTGGCCGTGGAGGGCAACAGGGCGCCCCGCGGCCGCCGCGTCCTCGGCCCGCGTCGGGCCCTTTTTGGCGAGCGAGCCCACGTTCGGGGAGCGCTCGAGCAGACGGCGGCGGCCGGGGGCCTCGGCGCGACGGGGGCCGCCGCTCCGGAGGGCGCGGCGGCCGCCGAGGAAGCCGGGGGCCCACGCAGCAATGGAGGGCCGCGAAGAGGCAGCGGCGAGCATCCGCGACTGCCCGGGGCGGACCGGACGGAAGGACGCCGTGGCGCACGCGCCCCAGAGGGGCGACCAGCCGGGGGCGGCCGCGGGCGCGCCGGCCAGGCATGGACCGGCAGCGGGCGATGGACGGCATCGCAGGCGGCGTTCGCGCCGTCGCGGCGAAGACGCACGGGCGCGCGCCAGGCCCCGCGGCCCACGATGCTCGGGCAAGTCGGCGACTGCGCGAACATAAGGGTCCACAGACCATGATGCGCACCGACAGGGCCTGAACGGGCCCGCAGGGACAGGGGGGGGGCTGGGCGCGCGGTAGACGCAGTCCAGAACGACAGACCCCATTGGACCCGAGGACCTGCAGACTTTCCTGAGACGGTTCTCGGCGCGGGCAAGGGTCGGACGAGGGGCCGCGCAGTTCCCCGGCGGGCGCGTCGGGGCCACCCCCCATCTGGGAGGCGGGCGCGGTCACGAGCGGCAGCGGAGCCCGCGGCCGCGCATCCAATGGGCGATATGCTGCCTGCGGGGAGATGAATTGCAGGAGAGCAACTCACCCATGCCGACAACCAGGAGGCGATCGGTGTGGGGAAACGAGGGCGGCCGGCAACGCTCTCCACAATCGTCTCACTCGGCGTCCTCGGCTGTCCCTTGCGCGCGGGGTCAAGACGCGGGGCGGCCTCGAGGTAGATTGGATCAGCCCCCACTGCGACTGGACCAAGTGCAACGTGGGCCTCTCTGAGGCGAGGGCGGCTTGGGCAGCAGCCTGGCGCGCGGAAACGGTCGCGCGCGGCGCCATCCACGTTGGCGAGCTGGCGCCAGGCCCAGGGCGCCCGGGCTTCGCGGCGCCTGTCCTGGCACGGAGCTGGCTCGCAAGCGTCGCAAGGCAGGGCGAGAAGAAGGCGCCCCCTCCGCGGGCGACCGCGCTCGCGCCGACGTGGATCGGCAAACGATTTGCGAATGGGCTGAAATTGGAGCCGCCCAGCAAGTTCGGAGCCGCGGGCGCCGGGCACTTCCGCGCGGACGAGAAGGCGGGGGGAGGGCGCCGCTGGACAAGCGGCGGGAAAGCACCGCCGAACGGCAGCGTTGGAGGGGCCTGCCCGCACGCGCCCGAGGCGGGAATGGAATGGCCCCCCTCGGAGCGGGCCGCGGCACAAGACGCGGCGCTCGAGCTCCTCGGCGCGATCTCCCGCGCGAAGCCGCCCACAATGCCACGGGAACGCCGCCGGAGAGCGAACCTCCAGAAGACGGAGTCGACGGACGGCCTGGGGAACGCCTACGCGGCGAGCAGGGCCACGCCGACCGAGCGGCCTCCGACGGCCCACTTCGTCGAGCTGTCAGCGTCGAGCTGAGGTCGCACGAGATGGCGCCGAGCCTAGACAGGTTTCTGCGCGAGGAGAACCAGGAGGCAGACGATCTCGGCAACATGAGGACGCAGGACTTCGACGAGTCTCTCAGGATTCACGGGTCGGCCGCGGACCGTCCTGAAGCCGCGCGCGCTTGACGGGATGGCGCGGGCCCCCACGGGAACTCCACGGGTCGAGCGCCGAGGAGAGGGCGGCCGCAAAGAGCGGGGCACCGGCGGCGGGGCACGGCCAGGGGTCGCGGGCGCACGCGCCTGGCGCCGCGGCGACAGCATCGCCCAGCACGTCGTGGACGACGCCGCGCGGGCGGAATTGGAGGCGGCGGCAGCGGCGCGCGGAGCCCCGCGCGACGTTTCAGGACGGGTGGCCAGCGCGGGGCAGTTGGGGTTGGCTCAGACTTTTCCGCGCAGGAGGCCCCTCCCGCCGAACCCGTATTCCCTCGGGGCCACGCGGCCACCTCGGTGTGCGAGGGCCCCCTTGGTGGGAGTGGGGATCGGGTCTGCGGGGGCCCCCAAGGGCCGGGGAGAGGCCCTTGAGCCGCCTTTCCGCGCGTCTTCGGCTTCTGCTCTGCGCAGGTGCGAGCAGCGCGCAGGGGGGATGGCGCCATAAAATGCGGGTTGGGCGGGGGCGAGGGGAGAGAGCAGGGGCCCCCCAACACACGAGCATATATAGCAGTGTCCGGGGCGGGGGGGGCCTAGCTTCCGCCTCTCTCCCCCGAACTCATCTCGCCCCCCCCCCGCGGTTTTCCTGATGCACCATTCCCATCGCAGAAAGGGGGCATCAAGTTCCCGGGAGTGGCAGTGCCTCGCGCACAGGGCTTCCGGCGCCGCCACCTCTAGAAGTGGAATCACCGTCACCTCACTCTTCCTTTTTACTGCTACCACATTGCTTTAAGGTTTAATCCAGGATATTCCGCCGTGCGCCAGCACGAATGTGCATCCTCTTTCCTGCCCGACGTCTATGGACATTTGGGCTCAGACCCTCGGCCGTTTCTGAAGCAACCACCAACAACCACCCTGGGGCAGCATGTTCGCGGGAGTCGCAGGTGCCCTGCACACAGGGCCTCCGGCACCGCCACCCAGAGAAGGGGAATCGCGGGCCCTCGCGGGGCCATTTTGGGCCATCTTTCAAATTTAGATGGGTCCTACCCCCCCAAACCATCGCGAACCAATGCAGATGCCAGGCGCGCGACGTTCGCAATGTGCGCCACGCGTGCAGGTGCGCCGCGTGCACCAGGTGCGCCCTGTGACCCCCGAACTCAGGTGACCCAGTGACCAAATCGTGCCAAGCGCACCGGACGCGCCACGGGCGCTATTGCGCCATGCTGTCCAGCCGCGCCACACGCGTAGAGTGCGCCAGGCGGCGACAGGGGCGCCAATGTCAGCACACATCGGGCAATGTGTCGACCCACCCCGTCACCAGCCTTCCCCCCCAAAAAAAGCATGCAAAATGACAGCGGGGTGGTCAACGTGGTGTAGGCGCGCACCCGCAATGACGTTGCATGTGTTTTGGGCTGTGATGTTGGGCGCGCAGCGGACACAGACGGTCGACCATCTGATACTTCATCCCGAATAATTGGACCAGCGTTTGTGAACCAACTTGCCGGAAAGCTAGCCCAGTTGAATGGTAGTTTCTTGATCATATTAGGAAGGCCTTACGACCGGTGCCGCCGACCCTGAAGGCGGGGCGCTCCCCAGGATACCAGCTGGAGACCGACTCCCCCCTGACCCTGGGGGGGTCGGCATTATGACCCTGGACCCGCCCCTGGCACCCCTCCCCTCAGCAGGGAATGAACAGAGGGAAGGGGCTTCCTTTCGACTCAACTACAACGTTACTTCTCCTTGTGTTTCAGTTTCATTGGGTCTAATGACAACCACGACCACGACGACCACGACCACGACCACGACGACGACGACGACGACGACGACCACGACGACGATGACGACGACGACGACGACGACGACGACGACGACAACGACGACCGCGTCTCACGCCGAAGGGTCGGCGGATTTTCCGCTGTATGATCACCCCCCGCCATTCTTGTCAAAAGCCACTGCCACGTGGTCGCGGAGCACCCGCTCGTGATCGGATGTTTGCCACCGCATGCATGTTGCGCGGCTGCTTGGCAGAGGTGGCGCGAGGTGGGTTCATTTCGACTGCTCCGACTCGATTTGGTTAGATTTCGATCGATGTGTGTTACGATTCGATTTGATTCGGGATTCCGATTTGGATTTCGGTTCTCCACTGGAGGCCTTACTAGTCTGACGATTTCCGCCGATCCGACTCTCCCAGCTTGGCTGTCGATTCCCGCCGATCCGATTCATTTCGATCACCTATCCGACATATTGGTACGATTCTGGGCTCTCCTGAGGGTGGGCTAGTGATTCTTGGTTGGCGGTTTGTCGAGTCGGGGAGGGGGGTGCGTATTAATGAGAGGCGGTGAGGAAATCCCTCCCCGAAGGGAGAAAGGAGGCTAGAAGAAGAAACGGCTCATACCTCTTACGCGCAGATAGCTGGTGGGAGTCCGCATGCTCGTGGGATTTGGAACATCTCGAAGGCTCTTACTTTTTCATCCCAGGTGCTTCCGCTGGCGCCTCGGAGGCGCTCAAGAGTTTCTCCCCACCAGGAAGCCCTTTGGATGTATGCTGTATGCAGCGCCACGGGAAGATAGGCCAGGGAACGCCTCCAGGGAACGAGGAGCGGCGGGCGTCACCGCTGCCCCCGCCCGCATTTCCCGCTGTCCGAGCGGTTGCCGTCCCCGATCGGGCTCAGGCCTCGTTCCTGGTCCTCGGTCATGCCCTCCATTCCTTCCCCCCTCCCTGTCAGTCTGTGCCTGAATACATTGGATGCTACGTTGACGACTACTATAGCCGAGTGTTCAACCAGGGTCCTATGAATTACGGCTACACCGTATTCTCGTGTTCGGGAGCTTGTGCCGGCGTGCCCACAACACACCTGGCACTGCAGGACGGTGGACAGTGCTGGTGCGGCAGCGCCGAGAATTTGGGCAACGCGCCATACCTACAAACTGCCAACGGCGAGTGTGGCGAGCCATCGCTCGAATACGGAATACAAACCACCGACGGCCCGCAGCCGCAGAGAGGTGGTGGAGCCTTGAGAAATGCAGTCTACACGCTTCCGTCGGTCTTCGGGGCTTCGAACTTATATTCGACGGGGCACGGCCCTACTCAACTCCTATCAGGAGGGAAAGAAACACACAGACACAATTAATCAGCGATTCCCAGGAAAATATGGGAAAATATGGGAATTGGGGGGGAAGACAAAAACCCAGAAAATATGGGAAAATATGGGGACTATTTTTATTTGTGTGTATTTATTTGTGTGTCCTAATTTCCCTTTATCCTAGTGAACCCTACAGCTGGTATGATAGTTCCCAACCGCCATGTGGTGTTGGGCTCTCTTTTCGATGTTTCCCTGCCTACGCTCTGCCCAGAAGGGTTCTTACTCTGAGGCTTCAGGGGCCGGGCAGTGGAACCCACCCCGGGCGGTTCCCCCAGTATCCGCCCCGCGGTTCCCCCAGTGGCGTTCCCTTAGCTTCGCGTTGCTTATCGCATATTAGCTTATCTTATTTCATCTTACCTTAGAGTAGCTTCATCTCACCTCAGTCTTATATTAGCGTAGCTTACCTTCATCTTAGCTTCGCTGAGCTTTAGCATAGCAGAGCACAGCATAGCATAGCATAACGTAGCATAGCATAGCGCAGCATCGCATATCATAGCATGGGTGTAATTCCCTACCTAGGCTCTGCTTAGAGGGTTAGCTTAGCTTAGCTTAGCTTAGCTTAGTTTGACTTAGCATAGCGCAGCGCTGCATTAGCATAGCACAGCATAGCATAACATAGCCAAACATAGCATAGCATAGCGCAGCATAGCACAGCATAGCATAGCATAGCATAGCACCGCATAGCGCAGCTTAGCATAGCATAGCTAAGCTCAAAGGGCTCGGCAGTGGGGCTCGCCCCGGGCGGTTCCCCCAGGATCCGCCCCGCGGTTCCCCCAGTGACGCTCCCTTAGCTTAGCGTTGCTTATCTCATCTTAGCTTAGCTTATTTCATCTTAGCTTAGCTTAGCTTCATCTTAGCTCAAGTTTATCTTCAACTTAGCTTGGTTTCGCCGAGCTTTAGCATAGCAGAGCACA